CTTATCAGCGGTAGAAGGTCAACAGCAGTTTTTCATTCAGTTGTTGTTTCCTGAGGAGTCTCAGGTAGTATATTGTCTGCTGGGCTCTTTTGACCAGTGCCGCAATGTGTGTGCCCCAGGTCAGGTCCTCTTTTATGATAACACCCAGAAACTTAAAACTGGCCACTTGCTCCACTCGGTCTCCACTGATAAGCAAGGGCTGGATGCCTGATCTATTGCTTCTATAGTCCACTATTAGCTCCTTGGTCTTATTGGTGTTAAGGACCAAGTTATTGTCTCCACACCACGAAAGCAACCGGTCCACCTCATCTTGATAGACAGACTCATTCCCCTGGAAGATTAGTCCCCCCATGGTTATATCATCTGCAAATTTCTATCACCGGTATCTATTCGTCAAAAGAAGGTGACAGTGAGGGACAAGTACTCTGGAGATATCATGGACTCTACAAATGAGAATATTTTTTAAAAATATTTTTTTTAAAATCCTGCTCTTGTTCTCTCACCTGTGGGTTCTGGTAGGCTGTGACAGTCAGAAACTGTGTCTCAGGAAAGGTGAAGGTAGCACAGCCACTCCCTGCTCCGCGGCGCCCTCCAGCTCCCACCACATGTACTCTGGGCTGATAACGATGCATGGAATGAACAATCAACTAAGAACAGAAGAACCAACAGTGGGTATTATTTTACCTGATCATCTTATGTTCCTCCATTTTCCAACTCCATATTAGTTCTCCGCAAAACCGAACTGTCAATGCATGCTGTCATTCTGGGCAAAGCACAAAATGTAATTCTAATTGCATGATTCATTATCCTTAAATATGAGTTCATTTTGTATTTAAAAGGAAGATTAAGAATCTAGGCGTGTCAACCTGCAAAAAAATAAGCCCAAGTCATTTTTGTAGAGGGATGTAGGTGAGCAAAGTTGTTTTTTGCCTGTCACCATGAACAATTTTTAATAATAACTCAACACATTATCAACAGACTCTAAGTTTAAATACTGTGTGGCTGCTATAGAATTTATTTTCTTTGAATTTCAGAATGTAGTATTCCTCTGGGAAAGATTTTGCTTCATTTTTGGCATTAGATTCACAAAATCCTGGAGCTTGACTATTTTTTTCTATAACTCTCATAGTTAATAGTCTAAAAGATCCGCCCACATGTGTCCCCTCTCTAAATCATTTTATTTGGGATATGAGCGTACTCTATCAATTATTGTCTCCTGGATGTATATCCCCCATTCCCCTCTGTCTTTTCTCCAGTCCCAGTTCCCAATCATACATGTCCATGAGGATCCAGGGTATTGTTGGTGAGCTTGAGCCGATGGAAAGATACAGGTTGGCGCATCCAGTGGGCACCTGATGCAGGTGAGTCAGGATGGATGTAAACCCGGTCTGGAGGTGGTAATTCTGCCTTGCCACTAGCTTCCCACTTTTTGCCATGCCACTTGTAGCGGGAGCCTCCTACAGAGACCACATCTACCAGCAGTAGGTACTTAGCTTCAGGATCCAGGCCTGTGACCGAAATTTTTAGCTGTGGAAACATCCGCCTGGAAGGTGATTAAAACATGGATTAGAAAATTCAAGTTGTGAGGAATGGGCTGTCACACAGAAGAAGAAAACATGATTCGTCTCACCTCAAGGGTGGTGGTAGCTAGTTCTAGTCATACACTCACCATGCTATAGCTGAGTTCTAGAAAATTCTAGAAAGTTCTAATAGCGCAGGATGATGGACAGGGTCCAAATCATATTATTTGGCTCCATTTATTAAGACAAGCAGTCCCTCATATAGCCCTTGAAATATCAGCACTGATGTATCGGTAGTCCTTGACTTAAAATCAAACTATGATCATCTAATATATGTTGCTAAGCAAAGCAGTTCTTAGTAAGTTGCGCCCATTTTATGACCTTTTTTTGCCAAGGTGTTAACAGTTGTTAAGCGAATCACATAGTCTTTAAACAAGTCTGGTTCCACCCCCACTCCCACCCCCGATATTGCTTGTGGGAAGCCATCTGTGAAAGTTGGAAATGGCATGACACTGAGATGCTGCAGAGGTTGTAAATACACAGCGGTTGCCAAGCGCCCAAATTTTGATCATGTGACCATGGGGATGCTGCAACTGTTGTTAGTGCAAGGACCAGTTGTAAGTAACCTTTTTTTCAGTGCCAGTGTAACTTTGAACAGTTTCTAAATGAATGGTTGTAATGGACTGCCTGTAATGGAATAATGTTTTTTTTTAAAGTTTTTTATTTTTTTATTTTCATACAAGTAACCACATATATAACCAACACTTTTGTATTATTCAATCCGTGGCACGACAAAACCGCAGTCCACTAAAGCGTGCCCGATTAAAGCGCGTCATCAGCAGCGCAACAAATACAACCGCGGAGAAAAAAGGACCCTTTAAAAAGCGCTTTTAAAGCAAGCCGATTCACGTAAAGGTAAGGGTTAGGTTTAGGGTTAGGTTTAGG